CCCCCCACCCCAAACCCGAACCCAATCACCGCTCACCACACCCCAAATCACCCCCGTGTCCAGGAGTACCCCTTCTTTGTCAAACACAAGCAAGTGTGAAGTTTCACACTTGCCTACGTTTAAGTCAGTTTGACATGAAAGAGGTATGTGTGGAGACGGTGGTGACGGCCGAACAATAGAAGTTAGCATTGTAGTCTGTATGCATACATTGAACAATTTACAAAGAAACAAAAAGAGAGCAATCACCCAACTCTGCAGGCAAATCAAACAAACAAACAAATGAAATAAATGAAATTAGAAATGTAAACAACATTTAGACATATAAATTCACACGATGACAAAAATGGACACGAAACCTCGTGCAGAACTCGTAACTGAAATCATACACAGAACATGTAACGGACATGAAAACCGGTGAAGTGCTAGTCACTGAAATCACACATGAAAAATGTAACATTATACAATGAATCCTACTAGTGCCACATACTAACTAATAAAAAAACAGTACTGCACAAGCCGTGTCCGCAGTGTCGACCCACTCTACTACAACTAACGCTACTTTACGGATGTCGTACTCATACGGATTTATACCAGTATCGAACACACTAAAAAGCAAGAAAACAACTACAACTACAGCATGCAAACTACCTGACTACCACTGACTACCCGACAACAATGACATAAGACATCACGGCTGAAAAAACAAGAGCAGAGACTACGCCGAAGTCGCGTGCAAGTAGGGGAAAGCGAATTGCTGGCCTCATGGTCATCACCGTCTCTTCCCCTTCTCGCTACGCCTCCTTCGACTCCTCGTACCCCCCCGAGTGTCGGATGTCGACCTCCCCCTCCGTCCTGCAGATGATGATGTCGGCGCAGAAGAACGTCTCAAAGCACGCGTCGGTGGGGGGGGGGGGGACTCATCCTCGTTGTCATCGTCGGTAACACTGTCGTGAGACTCACTCTCCTCCTCCTCACCCTCCTCCTCACCCTCATAGTCCTCATCGTCCTCCCGCACTGCATGTGCGGGCGGTCCCGTCTTAGGATCACCCTCCTCCACGGTGACAGGGTCGCCTCCCTTCCTCAACACAACAACCCTCGCACTAGCCTTTCCGACCGTCTGCAGCCGGCGGGATCCGCGAGGCATCCCCAACCCCTCCGCCCTCGAAGACTCTCCTAGTGCAGCGCCTCCCTGTGCAGGCAGCGGGCGTGGACGAGGAGTCACTCCACGCTTGCGTGGAGTTTGCTCATGCACAACACGCGTCACTGCTCTCAAAGCCTGGTCCAAGGCCGAGTTGGACAGTCCTATGCCTCGACCTCGATGAGGCTCACAAGGTGCTGCTGCTACCTCCCTTGCTGCTGGCGTCCTGGCGCCACGGTGACCCAACCCCGACTGAAGGCGAGCAGTGTGCTCAGTGACAGGGCGAGTGGAATCCAAATCTATGTCCGTCCTCCCGTACAACGCCGTGTCGCCCACATCGCGCCCAACAACTGTCGTGTCACGAATCCACGATCTCCCATGCGTGTGTGAGGATGGAGAGCCCCGGGCTGTAGGCGACGATGACGGATCACCCTGGTGTGGTCTAGGAGGAGGGGGTGGCATGTCTCCTGTACCTGGCGCTCTCTCCTACACGCCCCCCGAAACCCCTGCAACATGAACCCTATTCGGCCCTCTGTTGGAGATAGACCCGGACCAAACCGGCGATGCATGGGCCCATGGAACCGAAGGAATCCTCTGCCAATTGGGTTGTCTTAGTTTCGGGTTCAATACCCGTCGGTCCAGTCGAGTCACATCACGCACAGCGGCCGCTGCGAACTCCTCGGCATCCAATGCATGATCCACCTCCCGCGGAGCCGGTCGTCGAGGACGTGGACGCTCAACCATCGACTCGGACCCTAATTCCTCGATGACAACAGGCGGCATTGTGTGGAATGCCACGTCGGGCGGCTCCGACCGTCGGGCCTCGACCAAGTGCAGGCCCGAGAACGGGACGACTGGACCCGTCTGTGTCTCATGACCTCTCGCCCATGCGTCTCTAGGCCCACCATCCCCCCCCTCTCCACCCTCCTTGGCCTCATGCACTGTCTGTCGCCCACCCTCCATACCCTCCTTCGCCTCTGCTGTCACGACCTCCCTAGCATCCTCCCCCACCACTGCCCCACCCTACCCACCATCTCTCCCCGTCCCTCGACTCTTGCGCTCCTCTAAGGCCCGTGCGAGCGCCTGCGCACGCGGGTCGTTGGATGTCATCAGTCGAGCCCTCTCTCGCCCTATGATGTCGCGTGCTGCATCTGGAGACTCAGTCGTCGTCCTCTCTCTCGGGGTCTGCGTCAAAGTCTCGCCTGCCGCCTCGTCCCTCGATGGAGCCCGATCCGTCGATGTCGCCCCGCCGCAACTAGGTGGAAGGCCCGTCGACAAATCAAAGTCGATGTGGGTCCCCATCTCCGAATCCGATATCCCCAACCCCCTCGCCACACCCAGGGTCATACCCGCTATGACCGGATCGAGCTCCTCCATGAGGAATTGCTGCATGAGGCGCTTGTCACCGCCCCTATGCGGTACCTCCGCCGCTGCGGTTATCTCCTCCTCCACTGGTCCTGCCACCTCCCCCTCCACCGCAACTGCTGACAGTGCCTCCTCCTCCTGCATTGCTGTTGCCACCTCCCCCTCCACTGCTGCTGCTCCTCCTGCTGTTCCTCGATGACGACAACTGCTATCCCCTCCACTGCCGCCGCTGGTGCCACCTCCTCCACCACTGTTGCTGCCACCTCCTCCAACACTGTTGTTGTTGCTGCTGCTGCTATCTCGTCCACCGCGGCTGTGACCGTCACGTCCGCCATCGCCGCTGGTGTCATCTCCCCCTCCACTGGTGTTGCCGACGGTGGCCCCTCCTCCTGCAAGATCTCCGGGGAAGGTGATCGTAACCTCAACTGGCGAACCGCCCCGCCTCTACGGAGAAGTCCGTGTTGAGGCACGGAGGACCCCAACTCCTCCTTGTTCGCCGCTGCCGTGGCCCGCTTAAGTGGCAAGACGGGCGATGGTGGTGCAGGACCCGGAGCAAAAGGTGGCGGCATGGACAACTCTCGCCTCGTCGGAGTGGGGGTCGTCACCCGCACCTCTCTGCTGCTCGTGCCTGCATGCGAGCCCCTACCTCTGTCAGCGCACACATCGCCCGTGGAAACGACCTCCCCGAAAGGGCCCCAAAACTCCTCCTCTCCCACCAGCATCTCCCTGTCCGCCCGCTTCACCGCCTGTCGTGCTGTGTGTGCCCTCGTCTCCTCGTCGCCGGGATCGTCGTGCGTCTCATCGATCTCACGGGGAATGAGGAGGGCAGGGTCATCTGCCGCCTCAGGTATCAACTCCTCATCCGAGTCATCCTCCCTGGTGTGGGGATGAAAAATGCAAGTACGTCTACCGAATACGGCATCAGCAGAGGGCGGTGTGGAGGCCTCGATGGGATCCCGGGTAATAAGCGCAGCCTGACGGGCAATCTCCTCCTTCGTCATCCCTCTGCGCATGCCCGTGCGCACAAGCTCCACCTCGAGTCGTACCTGGCAATCGAGCATGCCCTCGTCCCGCTGCCATGGCAACACATAACCGCAATCGAGCATGCCCTCGTCCCGCTGTCATGGCAACACATAACCACATCCAACCCGTCGATACTCCACAACAAACGAGTTGCACGACCTTCTCGAAGGCCAACCGGTTGCGCTTCTTCGTGTGGATGCCCTCGTGGACTGCCCAATTCCTCTCCTCTGGAGAGACGCAAGACCACATGTGCATCACCCGAAGAGCGCACCGCTGCAACCTCGGCGCGCCATCCCCGAACCGAGATAACCAAGATGCGGACTCAATCGTCTCGCCATCGCCACTTCGTGCGCGCCCACGAACACGCCCCTCCGCCCCGCCCCAATCGCCAAACCTGCCCTGCTGCATATGGAAGTCCTCAAATTGCCGACATGCAAGGATGTACTCCGCACCCTCCGACTCGAAACCCGTCTGCGTCAGAATGTACCTTTTGGCTTGCCCCACAACCCAAGCATGGTACCGGTCCACCTCGCCTGAAAAGTAATGAACATGTCGCCTGCGGGGGTTCAGTAAGAACCCTGCGCAGTGAGCCTATTGTGTGCGAGGCTGCACACGTCTGATGATCTGGTCAGCAAAGGACTGCCCCAAAGGAGCGCATGCGTCCGTCACACGGTGGACAAGATCCTGTGTCCACTCGATCATGAGCGACATGTACTGTCCTCCACGATCCATCCGTCTGAGCAACTAAATGACGGGCTCCATCATATGGACGATGGTGGCCACCCTTTGCCACCGAGGATCCCATATGATCTATCGACGCACCCAACGCGCCATAATGCACACATCAGCAGACCACGGGATGGAAGCAAAAGCCCGCACGTCGTCCCCTCGCATCATTTCTTGCAAAGTGTCCTACAGGGACAACAACCTCTCCAACATGGAATAAACAGACGCGAACCGCGTCTCACAAGAAAGAAAAAGCCCCTTGTCGGGGTTGCACCTCCTGAAAAATGAAAGGCGGCCTAGTGGGTTGTAAAAAACACCACCAGCACACGAGCGAGTGTGATTGCGTCCACAAACGCATCGCAACTCGTCCCCATGTCTGACAACAATTTGTTGCAGACATGGACGGAGCACGGGAGCGAAGTGATCCTCCTCAGTGTAAGAGTCATGGTCGGTAAGGCCATTGCCTTTGCAGCCCCCATGTACGCAGAAGTGAAGTTGGTGTATATCGCATTGACCCGCTGCGGCCCACCGAACCTGAACTCGTGGAAGATGGTAACCCATCTCCGAAGGATGTGCTCTGCATCGTCCGGCTCGCCCTCTCGATTGATCGTCATGTACATGACGACCCCTCGCGAGCCTGTGGCAAGGAAATTCACGATCGGTCTCCCGTCTCATGATTTTCTCCCGTCGGACAGGAGGGTGGCCCTTGTCACCCAGAATGGCTGCCTCACCTCCTCCAACTCCGCCAACTCTGCACAGTGGGTCTCCACCGCCCGCATACTCGCAATCTCGCTGTAGCTGGTGAGCACAGTGCACAGGGAACTGCCAGGCTGCTCAAGAAGCACATGTTGATATGCCTTCCATGCCTGGTTGTGGAAGGCATCGAAGGACACCCCGCTGAAATAGAGCCAGCGGGAAGGCCTTCTTGAGGCGAGCAACCCACTCGCCACCATAAACCTCAGTCACCTTCTGCACGCGAAGCCTCTTTCCAGTTGGGGTGGCGGCTGGATTAGTTCCTCCTTCCTTCCTCTTTGAAGAACCCTCAGTTGCAGATCCCTTGCCCGCTCGCCGCAGCCAGTCCTCCATCCTCTCCCCAATGCCTGCATAAAACTCTGGCACGTCCTCCTGTCCCGGGACTCCCTCCTCGCCCGGGCCACAGGCCTCGCGATCGACGTGGATCACGCCCTCCTCCGTGTCACCGCCTCCACCCCCCAATGGGTGGTCGGGCGCACCATGCTCACCATCTCCCCGACCCCTCCTTCCACCGGACGCCGCCCCGCCTCTCCTCCCCTTGCAGCGCCCGTGTCGGGCACATCGAGTCCGCGCTCCGCTGCATACCTCGCAACCCTCACCATCTGATCGGACTCGAACTTTTGTTCAGTCGTCACGTGATCTCGTACAACGCCTCGTCGCTAACGTCCTTGCAGTAGTTCGTCTGGACGAAGTGCCTCGTGGCCTGAAACTGAGTCCCTTGGAAACTTTGTTGCAAAACATGCAACGAATCATCATCACCCCCTTGTTGTTGACCTTCTGGCTGACAACAACGTACCAATAAACACCGGAGCGGACCCTGAATATGTCCTGCATATGGTCCGGGGCAGGCTCATGCTGGCGGCGCTGTGCCCTCCCCATGACAATTGCCCTCGTGAGACTCGCCCCGAACCCACCTTGGAACCCAACCCCCGTCGACCGCTGCCCGCCGCAGAGCCCCCCCTTCCCTTGAGTCCCTCACCCCCCCCCCTACTACCCCACCTTCCCCTGTCCAACATCTCCTCGCACCTCACAGACCCACGTGAACGTCGTTGAACCCCGTTAGACGGCTACCGGCGCGACGTGTTTAATCACGTTCAACACCGTTCAGTTGAGTTGAATCACATTTAATCGCGTTTAACGCCGTTGAATTAAAAATTCAACGGCGTTGTTCGGCGCTGCACGTGCCGATTCTCCATCGTCGTCAAACACGCTTCGTTGCTGCTCCAACTTCGTCGCCGCTCCAGCTCTCGCTCCTCGCTCCGTGTGACGCTCCTCGCTCCCTCTCTCTCTCGCTGCAGCTCCCTCTCTCGCGCGCGGCAGCCCTCTCTCTCTCTCTCTCTCTCTCTCTCTCTCTCTCTCTCTCTCTCT